ACTGAATTGCCATTCAGTGTATTATGTCAATTATTCATCCGTGCATGTCTCTATGTTACAAGAATTATAACCGAAATACAGTTGATGCATAAAATAAAGTCGTGAATTCTATTGCGGTTCAGTCTGTTTTTCAACAAGTATTCGTTTACAGAATGGAAATGGTCACGTACTTGATCAAGAGATTAAAATAGAATTATATTTCGTTGTAACAATGTTTTGTTACGATTTGGCGACATCAGGTGCTTGTAGTAGTGACATGTGTAGTAATATGTCATGGTTTATTTTGACAATAGGCCAAAATTAACTTTCTTCTTAAACAGTTAAAAAAAATCCTATAGAACTTTTGGACTTCCACTTTGATTGTCTAGTACTAAGATATATGCTATATACCTGTCGGTCCAAGCATAACAGAATTAAAAAAGATGTAGCAGTTAATAAAGACTAGTTAGAATATTACAAGGGAACTTAAAGAGCGTTCATATTATTTTATACATCAAAACAGAACTTAAAATATGTAGGCACAACGAACAATGTCAGGAATGTTGATATTTCTTCCGTGTTTACTTCGCGGACATTTTTATTGTACGAACTGAAAATAGACGTGTCACCCGAAGTGGTCGGTCACGCGCATATTTGTGGGCTATATATAGCTCTATCAGTTGGCAAATGTCCTGGATATCCCATCGGGGCGCCTGCGCACTCCACGCTAAATGTCGCGTGCTCAGCCCGCTAGCTTCATTATTTTTGGCCATCGACACGAAGATTGACGTGTAAATAGTGCTACTATCGATTGGTAATACTAAATCTGTTAACATAAGCGCTTCTCCATCTGTAAAAGTGATAAATATTCAGAGATCTAGTAGTCTACGTTGCGTTTACGTCAGAACTACGTCAGTTTTCGTTTGATATACGGAACTAGACGTATGCAATCACATGGCTGGCCTTCAAGTGCCACTCCGCTCTGTAACCCTATTATGTTTGACAGAGGCTTAGTGCGGCTAAAGGCGCATGTGATTCAATGTTGTGAAAAGTAATGTTTACCTTGCTACATTCGTATTTTCGTCGTTATTTCGACCATTATTTTCAGATTATGACATCTTTATGTGTTTGGCTTTTTGCATGGAGTAACATCAATTGTAGAATACAGCTGGTCTTGAAGTTTCAAGAGTTTTTTATAAACCGTGAAATGTATTTCGTTTTTGTTTCGCAGCAAAACAACCAGCCAGAAGGAGTACTTTTGATGAAAAAAATAAAGATGACATTTTTATACTTTAATAACAATTTTCATCGAAATACGCACATTAACACTAGAGGTAAATTTGAAACAAATACCAGAGGTAAATTTGTACACTATTCGCATCGCACGTGCCACCCGAGACATTCCTCTTCGCGAATTACTTGACGTAATATTTTGATAATATAGGTACTATGAGTTCGTATGCGCTTTCGAAGTTTACTTTTTGCAATGGTTCACTAGTTAATTTTTGTTTTATACATTTGTTTCTATACTATTGTATACTATTGTATTCCATACTATATTATATTCTATTGTATTATATATATACTATTGTATTCTATAATATTGTATGGTTATGTCTTGGTAAGACATAACCATTTTACTTGGGGCACCACAAACTGCAACGTAGTCTTCCAATTACAGAAATTGACATACCTAGTAAGTACATAAATACGTAACTAATAATGCTAAGTGCATTGGTAAATAAATAAAAAAAAACGTTATTTCATCAATATTAATCATGGAAAATTTTATGTAAACTTTTCATTCGCATCAAAAAATAACTGGAAACGACCGGTCGGAATAACTTTGTTATGCTGGTACTGTTTTATTTACGAAAAAAGCAACCGTGTGACAACTGAATCAGTTTGAATTTCAGTACATGACCAACTTTTTGTTTTATTTCAACTGTAAAATGTATAGTAGTTTGTAGCGACTGTTATTTTATAAACGGACGAGAATCGATCCAAGCGACAATAGCATTGTTTTTAACGTTTATACTGTTGCATTGATGGCGTCATACCCAGCCAAGAGAAAATCAAACCTTTTACTTTTTCAGGAAGATTATCACATAGACTTACTAACTTATTCAAAACGCAGAGGAAAAGTTTTCTTTGCATACATGCATTAATATTGATTTTAATGTATTTTGGCACCGACTTCCGAAAGTACTCCACTCACATAAAATTGTTAGTTAATTTCAACGGTACTTACTTTATTTTACACATTCTGTGTTTGAGGAAAATTAGCTACGTATTTTCAACGTATTTCCGATATATAACTCCACTATAAATTCTCAAGTGCTTTTACTGAAAATATAAATATTAGTTTTTGCGTAAGAGAGTAAACAATGGTATTGTAATAAATAGGTTTTTCGTGAGTAGGTAGGTATTAATTGTAACCTTGTATAATTCCAAGATCTAGATAAAAATAGTACAGTCTAGGTATATCTGTACAACAGTAACACCTGGAATTACATATTCATGTTCTTTCATTGAATACAAAGACCCTAGGGATATTCTTTCAATAGATACTTAAAGTATCTCTTGTACCTCTATCTCGAAATATTTTATCAAACCATTTTCATTGTAAGTAGCGCCTTAGATTCCCTATCTTTTCAACGTTTTACTTTCCTATCTACCAACTTTATATTCTACAGAATCCTGGTTTTGGTTTCGTTCATTTACATTTTCGATTAATTATTCCGGGAACCGAAGAATGCTCTCTTGCTTCGTTAACGCCAAGAAAACTTTTCACTCTGAATTTTTACTGACCTCTTTTCCTAAAATTGTTCAGTGCACAACCCTTCTCGATTACCTCGCATATTTTGTAGCAAATCCACAAGAGGTACTTTGTTTCTTGATGTACCTACATCTGTCCGACTAAATGTGAACAAATAATATGTTTGACCATTTCGTGTTAATGACGTTAGGACTGCGCCCATAATGTCACGAAAACGATGTTTTAGAAATAGGCTAGCAGTTAGTGCAGCAATGTAGTTAGTTTAATGTGATATCGTTCTATTTGTAGTCGGTAGGTGCAGACCGTCTAATTAACCAGCCAACAGTCGCCCACTACCTATCTTATTTAATATTCTCTCTTGAGAATCTTGTGCCTACTAATCCGTTGCTTAAGCAATTTACTTTTTATTTTTAGGTAATTCACCTTTTTTGTTCCAGTGTTTTTTTAGGAACTTACTTTTGTATTCTGTAAAATACTTCAAAAACTTTGACGTAGAGAATTAACGATAAAACGGTTCAGATTGAGTTACGTGGGCAGGTTGTAGGTGAATTTATAGCTTCAATAATAACTTTTCTGTCTTGTGTAGCATTACCCGGTATACAGTTATTTTGTTTCACCTTGACTTAAATACCCAAGAATGGCTCTGTATTTAAACATTCTTAAATAATGGAATACGTATACCAGCCAAATTCATGATTTAATCATTTTCATACATCACTCGCTCCCTACAGGTCCTTAGATAATTCAGAAGATGGTACAAAAGACGTGGTAAACGTAGCAAAATAAATCGTTTAATTTAAGCACGACTAAATCTTCTTAGAGACTTTACTTGGCTGACATTAACATAAATTAAGTTAAGAAAAAGGGGTTGAGACAGATGTCACGCAATAATATAAAATACTGAAACATTTTTGAAAGAGATACTCGAGAGTTTATTTATACCATGTCATGTCAGTGAATGTATCGTGAGCGTTGTGACAAATTGATGATAAAATATCGTTTAAAACTACATTAGTCTCAATTTGGAACGAGACGCCGTGATAACATGGGATTCCTCTCTGGAATGGATTCTTTACTTTCCAATATCCGAGTGATCGATCACACAAACTAGGTGCTCGATTAATCTCACTTGTTATCTTAGAAGATGGTTACAAGTGACTTTTTGAATAGTTTGAACATTTTTTTTAAAAAGAGTAACGAATGGAGTTTCTTGCTCGTTCTTCTCCATTCGAATTTACATTTTAGAATGAGCATCTAGCTTCACCTGGCTTTATTGATGGACTGACTGACAGACTATTATTTATTTTGTATTTAAGTACCAAACCATGGTTTAATTGAAATAATTTAATAATAATAATAAGGAATTCGGTGTTTAAAAAGAGTCTTGTCTGGTAAAAGTGAGAACTTTTATCAAGTTGTAATACTTAAATGTCAAACCTTTTATTAATTCATTTCAACTGTTAGTATTAATTGATGAATTGTTTATAGAGGCGTTGGTGCCGCTGATCAATGCTGAAATGATTTCTCTTCGCAATGTAAGTTTAAGCGCATTACTAAGTAAAGAATATATTAAGTATGATATACATTTATGTAAGTATGAATGTTCGTATCACCTCTAAATGGGTCACTCAGGACGCTACAACTACGCGACGACAAAATAGTTTGTTGACGTAAAATGTTAGTCTTATCGAGCCTAACGAGACTAAGTTTACTTTTAATGTTTCATAAAACTATAATATTCATTTATTGCTCTCATTTTAATAAAAACCCTCAAAGACTGAATTAAATTACGCTTTGGTAAAACTTAACTGTCCAAGTTCAAATCTCAGAATTAGGTTAAAAGTAGGCGCAAAGTTTTTTAATAACCACACTTTTCTCGCTCGTTTGTGTAGAGTTTGGCTCTAGTTATTCGTTTCATTTATTTCCTGCTTAGTTATTTTTAACGATATAGTTATTTATGTAAAATGTGACTTACCTATTACCTAAGTCCTTATCATTGAACATTTATTAAAAAATACTTCATCAATATCTCTGGTTTTCACTTTATATGGACAAGAATTATGAATTTCAATTTTATTATGCAAAATATATACATTGAAGTTCAATCAGATATTTCATAAGTTTACGTAATTATGTATAGTAAATTGATGCAAATTGTATCGATGTAAGTTATAGTTCACACAAGAGGTTAACATCCGCCAAGGTCACAGACTGGCGAGAAGTGGTCTGGTGCAGACGTGGCTCTGGAAGCATTTCTATTTCGGCGCAAATGTCGCGAGAGTCGACGCGCTCGAGACGCGGTGGCACGCGGCCGGCCGGCGCCCGCGCATACTCACACACTTTAGTTTACGCGTATGTTTCCCGTACGGAACACGTTTAACCTCGTCCACAGACTGTGAGCACCCAATGTTTTGTCTTCCTGTCGACCGTGACAATAATAATTGTGTGCTGAAAATTACATGATCACGTGTGACAATGTGTGAATATCGGTAGTGAGCCCGCGCAGTGCCACGATCTACAGTTTATTTTCTTTTTTGTTTAACGTCTACTTAAAACCAGTTTTGTCGAACTTAAAACATCGGAGTTCTGAGCTTTATTGAAGCATTTCTGTTCATTGATCTATTAATTAGTGTTTTCTGTGTAAATATTTACATGCTCCGAAGTTCTGTAACTATTGTGCTATTATGACATTATAAGTTTGATCTAATATTTGACTGTGGAGGTCATATAAGTTGTCACCATGACTCATACCTGACTACTGACTGTGTTGAGTTAACGTGAGATGTTATTCCGATTATGGTCAACTACTTTAATGTGGTTTCAGTTGTAAATTAGTTCGTTATCATTATCATTAAATTTTCTGACATTCATGTGACCATTACCTAGTTGCATTGTTATTACCTGGTTTAACCGTGACAATCCCAATGGTGAGAGATTTAGATAAATGACAGTGAATAAAAGACATTCATTCATACCTTGTTTGTTTAGCTATAGATAAAACAAAATATATGTCACCCGCATTTATGCGTGATCGCCGTTAATGTATGCGCTGCCGATACCGGTGTTTGCTCAGTGATAATGATGCCGCGGGCGGGCCGCGCGCGCACTACGCTCACTGCTCACTATCTTTGCGTAGTCTGAACCACGTGCTTACTCACCTGTCCGAGACTTCCACAAAAGCCAGTGACGTCAGTGTGCTCTAGTGAAGCATGTAGAGAGTGGAGCGATGTTTGTGTAAAGTTGATGGTGAACAGTGTCAGTGACCGGTGTGTGGGGTGGATAGCAGTTGTGTGTCGGTGCGCCGATATGTTGTTGTATGGTGGCGGGCCAGTCAGAGGGGCTGTACAACGGAGACTCTCAGGTCCCTGCGGAATTCCATGCTGTCCTGGGGCAGGGGCGGGGGCTCCGCAGGCAGCTCGAAGCCCAAGCCTGCGCTCGTCAAGCACGTGCTGCAGACGCATTCAAGTGGCGAGGAAGCCGGCAGCGACAGCGAAGCTCAAAGCGCGCTGCTCGCGGGCGCCTCCGCCCTGGCTCGAAGACGACACGCCATAAGATATAAGAGAAAATCTAAAATTGCCTACAGAGTTATCAGGTCTGTATCTAAGAGCTTACGAATGTTATTTATCCTTCATCTGTTAACAGGTTATATTAACAGGTACTTAAAGCGACATTAAGTAGGTACTTTATATTTTCCTAAATTTATAGATAGCAAATTCTACATAACCATGACCTAAGTACCTATATTTTGTTCATGAATCAATTTCTTATATGAAATAGTGACTAAATAGCGATGATTCTCAATCTACCCTTCCTTATTCTCCTCGCACACTTATCCCACACACATCGGAATAAAGCAATTGTAAATTGTATTATAAAGGCGTGTAATAAAATAACGTATCGTGAACTTAGCGTGTACCTACATTTTTACGATAAATAAAATAATGTTCATAGCCAAATTCGAGTGTTCAGATCGAAATTAAACAGTTACGCTAGCCAGAATCTCGACCCGCCGCCCGGTCCATATTGTTAGAAGATTGAGGTCAATCAGTGAATGTAGACCACTTAACCCCTAACGTCTAGTACCTGTCCAAATTATAGGCCGGTTACTATTTTCAACAATAGCATAAGCCTATTATTGGGAAAATTGGTTTATCTTCTCTTTTGTTTTCGCAAGTTGGATGTGTTTGTCTGCGGCGGCACGACCCATAACTTATTTAACAGATGCTCGTTACACAACTGTCTGCACATCGTCTGAGTAATTATGATTAATCGTGCAACTTGTGCGTGGATATAGACGTGCGATGTGAACAAAGACCGACATCCGGCAAAAAGCCAATTGGCATTCTGGCCACGTGTCCGCTGTCGGAGCTCCGGAGAGCTGCGTAGCCGGCCGCACTGTCGCACGCCACGGCAACAGGTACGAAACGAGCGAGCCGCGCCGCCAACTGTACCTGCACACTATATTTACATTTTAAATAGATTACTCCTCCAATAGTAAACAACGCTAAACATTTTATTATAACACAATGGCTTGTAATATACGAGATAAAATATTTAGGTCCCCTCTAGATTATGAATATTGGAAAACCTACAACTATAATATTATGATACCAAAGATATTATTCGATAAGAGGTTACCTTTAATTTTGTTACGAACATTCAAAGGGAAATACATAAAAGGCATTTTTACCCTCCCACAACCTCCCAAACTTGGAAGGTTGGGGCTACAGGCGGTCAATGCGAGAACTTTAGTTGGATGAATTATTTAATACACACGAAATGGGAACGGATCGGCTCTGCTTGAGTTTGAACTTACTAAATCAATTAGTTTGCTGTCCGTAGGGCATTCTACTTCAATCTATCAACCAGCATACATCTTTAACTGATTCCATAATGAATAGTGATATTATCAAATGTCTCCCTAGTACAATTTACCTAAGTTGTTAACAATGCTATTTCTGATTGATTGATCGTTAAGTACATAGTTTGATTACGGTTTAATGAAAATCCCAAGCGGCTTTTCATTACATGACAGGAACATAGGAACATCAACAAACTTACAAAATATGAAATATTTTGTGAGTGTAGAGTGGAGTTCAATCAAAGTGAATTGCGTCGGCTGCGGAACATCCTCTATCGTGATGGAAAATTAAATTGTACGACCAATCGAAACCTCGCTGTACGAGAGCCACTCCATTGCCGAAATATCAAGTGACTCCCGCTCGATATCGTCTGTGCATAATAATTATTAATACCTGCCGCCTCAATGGCAGGCTGGCTTTACTTTACTTAAACTAATAGCCTCGCTAACTTGCGCACGTCTGTCGATAACAATAACGTCTGACAAATACTATAAATGTAGTACAAAGAATGTTTGCTCGAGCACCATTTTATAGGTCGTAATTTTAGATTCTCCAGTACACTGATACAAACGTTTAACCAGATTTGACAGACTGACGTATTTATTAGCCCATAAACTTTTGTTACGCTCATAGTTTTGAGACATTGAATGATAGTGTTGTGGAGAGTAGTGTGTGAACTTCTGTGTATTGTCTATTATTTATTAGTATTTATTACTTAGGCCTCCTTAGGCCTAAGTAGTAAAGCCCCTTGGCTTAGAACTAAATTTCTAGGCACAAGAGCAATACTCTCTAATTGTTAACGAGTTAAACTTAATCTTTCAAAATGTGAAAAATGAGCTGGTGAATCTGAACAATATATCTTTTTTATATATATATTTTTTATGGGCCAACGTTTGACCACTATCTCGCCTGGTGGTAAGCGATGATGCAGTCTACGATGGAACGTCGTCCCATAAGTAATCTATTCACTCGGGCCGTGAAGATACCCAGTATTTCTACAGCGAATAATCTTGAATTTCTTTTAGTGGACGTACCTCCTATACGACAATTGGGAAGAATGTCACGATACAACTATTTGCTTTTAACATTACCCCATTAGCTAGAAAATAGTACATAGACTAATTCTCGAATAATGTAGTTGTAATAACGTCGTGTGGTACGTCCATTAATTATGGCGGTAGCAACAGATGGCGGTAGTGTTCAGTCAGAATAGTGCAAAACGCGCGTTGGCTTGTGGCTTCCGGCCGAGGCAGGGTCGCACCGCGTGCCACCACTAACGACACCATTGTGTGAGCATATAAAATACGTTAACGTATGCCTGCCCTGCTCGCTCAACTCGTACGTGCTTCATTCAATCCCGACAGCTTTCCGATTTTTTCTATAGCGTAATAGCTCCAACCTCAGTCTACTAACTCTTCAAAAGAATCCAAAAGTTTATTGCCTTTACATTTCCAATAACGTACCTAAAGATAACAATAACAAACTCTTGTTTTCATACAAAATCAAATAGACGTTTTAATAAAGGCCCAAACCTGACAGTTGCTTCATCAATTTATACATTTTGTTTTAAAAATTGATCCCAAGGCGGACGAGGGTGGAAAGTTTCAGTTTAATGTTCCAAGGTTAGGAAAACAAAATATATTTTAGTATCTTTCGATCTTGGTTTGTATTTGAGTGCTATATTGTACAGGTATAATAAGTATTACTAAATAATGGATTCATTGTTCTGTTGGTAAAAGCAATTTGTTGGCCTAGCTTTAGTAAGCGGTTGTTGACCACAAGATAATCGGTGTCCATTTCGAATTCAGAACAGATTAATTTATTATTAAAGTTTTGGTTTAGTTTGAATTGTAAAACGAACTCTTCTTCAATCAACTCGTTCTCATTCGTCGGATCTTTTGGGGAACAGATTTATTGTTATCCTACGTTGGTGTTTATAGAAACGGCCATTTTCTATTCTCTTTGTTGGATTGAAATATTTGGCAGATAGCTAGTTGGGCCAGTTTATTGTTTTACGTAAATTCATAAATCGAGTACCTACCTACTACCCGGATTTTTGTTATACAATAAATTCCATAGCATTTGTTCAGTTTTACAATAAACTGTCAGCTTAAACTGTAATAATTATTCGTTTTTACATTGGTAACATACTATTTTAATTATATTACTGAAATATTTTAATTAATAGTGAAAACAGATAAAATGACAATCGTTTTCCTAATGATCATTTAGAACTATTCATTTATGAGTATTAATTAACTAAATAACGTTGGCCAGCCACTAACAGACCGTAACAGTTTAATTAAGGGGAACCTAATATCTAGATATTTAACTCGTCGAGTACCGGTTTTGTAGACACAATTATAGAACAATAGGTTGCGGTCACCGGTGACCGCTTGGTGTTTGCCAGTTTAAGTAATAAGTATATTATTAATGAATCACAGTTGTATATAATTTTCCATTTCACTACTCATAAAAGTCCAAACCTAAACTCAAATAGGTGCCAGTAATAGTACTAAGTGCTGACGCGTTTATTCTCTAGGTAATAAAGTCTTAGATAGTTATAAATACTTTTTACTTTACCTAGTTACTTTGAAAGTTAGAATATTATTTTTATTGATAGTGTGAAATAACACGGTCGTATCCTTTTAAAGGTTTAAACACACGAGTTCGATTTATTAGATAATTTATTTAAAGGCCACACCGGCTTACAGGCATCGTCATTGACCCGACTAGTTTCAAGCTACGGAAGGGGTTCATAATAATCAACATGTGTGGCAACTGAGGTGACTGTTGCCCACTTATTGATTAATGTGGACCCCGAGCTAATTGAATGCACTTAGCTGTAAACTGTATTCGAAAGCCCTAGTAAAACTTGATGTAAGTGTGCTACTATCAGAATCCCTAAGTTAGAGAATGGCCATACAGGTAAGCCTTAAAATAGACTCGTTTGTAGCCTTTGAGTAACTTATAAAGAGGAGTTGAAACGAGTAACATTGTCTGTCTTCCTGTAATTGTTTTTGCATTGCCAACATAATTTATTATGCACTTAATACACTTATGTTCGGGTCGGGTAAGTGTATTAGAAGCATAAAACACGTGAGCTAACGTAACATATGATGCCATGTAAACATCAGTAGGGGACTGCCTTATCACTTTTGAGGTGACAATATTTTTCCTTGAAAATATTATTCCTATTGAAATTAATATATTTTATTATTATTCGTAATGTGATATTGTATTGGTGTATTTATTTATTCGTTTGATTTCTTTTATAACTATATTATGTATTAACTGATCGCGTGTCTAAACGTGGATCCACGCGAGACACAATGTAATTTGTCTTATATACGGGCATTTAAGCGGTTAATAAAGAGCAAATCTACCAAACACCAAACGTAATTATAGACTGTATGTCTAGTTATGCTTTAGAAGTTACTTTGTCCGACCCAGGAATCAAATTCAAGACCCCCAAACCCTCAACATCTTGGCAAACCTACTCGAAACAGTCTCATCGATCGAAATGTATTTCGTTATAGGTAAATGATTTCGTATTCTAGTGAAACAATATATAAATCGAGTTACTGTCAGTCAATACGGAGTTGAATTTACGAACCAGAAATTTTGAGATTTGAATTCAGTATTCTAACGTTCTATTTAGGTATTTGAATCTATTTTAAATCATGAATATCGGCTCTTTCTAGCCTATAACAAAGGTTCGTCGTGTGTA